AGAGCACTGTATATAATAATAATAATAATAATAATAATAATAATACAAATAATAGTACAATATTATTTGTACTCCACTTTCCTTTCTGCAAAGGACACAATTGGACAATGAAAGTTAGTTAAAGGAAAACTATAAACATGTATTCCCAACACTATAGTGTTAGAATAGATGCTTAAGTCCCTGGTCACTCTCTCTGTGGAGTTTAAAAGGTGATTAGATTTACCTTTTCTCGCTAGCCAAACCAGTTTCTCCATGGCTAGCCCCACCTCTATGGCTCAGATCCAATTCTTTCTTATAGGCAATTGGGAAGCTATTGCACATGTGAGGCAAAATGCCTTGCTGCACCAGTCAGCATCTCCTTATTGAGGTAAATAGAATCATTAAGCTGTAGTTGTTTTGGTGACTATAGTGTCCATTTAAATTTAATTTTTTTTTTCCTGTACAGGCAGTAAGGTAACTGACTATGTCAGAGATTTATTTTTTTCTTCTCAGTCAGCAGTGAATATAGCAACTAGTGAAAATAACTGGCTGTTTTATTAATTTATTATAAGTTTGCTTATAATCTAACTGTGTGACTGCAAGAGCTCAAATGTAGCTGTAGTACTGCTTTAGTTTTATACTAGCAGTAGGTTCATTTAGTATCCCACCCCAAAAAAAATTTATTAGCACTTTCCAGACTGCACTGTGCAGTTTAGTACAGTCATGGAAGGTAGTGCAGGAATTAAATATTCTGCCTTTTTTTTGTGAATATAGTTTTCTTTTTTGAGCTGCTGGCAAGAGTATTATAGTTTTGTTGACACTCTTCCAACCTACGAGCTGAGTTGGAGATTCGTTCGGGGCCAAACTGCAATGTGTTCTTGATTCCCAGTCCTGTTCCTGGCACTAGAAAAAAAGGAGATGGAGAAAAGTATGGTTTTTTTATTATTATTTATTTTATTTTTTTTAGTTCAAGTGACAACTGACAAATAGAGGGTAAACAGGAGGAGTAAAGCAATTTACACTTCCAAGCAGGATTTTTCAAGACACACTGACTGCAGCTACTGAGAGAGGTAGATTAGCAATGATACTGTGTGTTTACCCTTGATATGCCTGTGTGGGAGTGGGAAGTCCATTAGTAGGCATGGCTGTGATGGCTTCTAAGGGCACATGAGTCAAACGTTTGTTGATTGGCTGCCCTGCAGCCTTTCAAAACGCGTCATTAAATCGCCGAACACCGAACTCCAACCCGAGCATACAGTGATATGTCTGTGTTCGGGTCCCGGGTCCAAAAAACTTAATGTTCGGTACGAACCCGACCTTTTCAGTTTGGGTTCGCTCAGCTCTACTTGGAAGACTTCGCTGAACACAAATATTAGTGTTTCAAAACAGTAAAATGTATTACAACGATGATACCGTCAGTGAAAGTGACATTTTTTGCATTTTTCACACACAAATGGCACTTACACTGACAATATAATTGTTGTAATACGTTTTGCTGTTTTGAAACACTAATATTTGTGTTCAGCTAAGTCTCCTAAGTACAACAGTACCTCTCATGTAAAGTTTTTATGGTGTTCAAAAGTTACAGAGTCAAATATAAAGCTTGCGTTTCAGTTTTTTCACATTGAAATTCGTCTGATTGGTTATATTGCCTTTGAGACCGTATGGTAGCCCAGAAATGAAAATTACCCCCATGATGGCATACCATTTGCAATAGTAGACAACCCAAGGTATTGCAAATGAGGTATATCCAGTCTTTTTTAGTAGCCACTTAGTCACAAAACTGGCCAAAATTGGTGTTCAAATTAGTTTTTTGCATTTTTCACACACAAACAAATAGTAACACTAACTTTGACCAGTGTTTGTGACCAAGTGGCTACTAAAAAAGACTGGACATAAACCATTTGCAATATCTTGGGTTGTCTACTTTTGCAAATGGTATGCCATCATGGGGGTAATTCTCATTCCTGGGCTACCATACAGTCTCAAAGGCAACGTAAGCAATCTGACGAATTTCAGTGTGAAAAAACTGAAAAATAGACCATGCCATATTTGACCCTGTAACTTCCCAAAACACCATAAAACCTGTACATAGTGGGTACTGTTTTACATGTGAGACATCGCTGAATACAAATATGTGTATTTGATTGCAGTAAAAGCAAACAGTATTATGACATTCACAGTTAGACTGTCAAGTAGAACTAAAACAAATTCTTATTTTCTCCACTTTTTTTATATTTTATTCATATTAAATTATGTTTCGTACTAAATATTTGATATAAAATGAAAGCCATGGTTCCCATGAATAAAATGATATATAATAAGTGTGGTTGCACATAATATGAAAGCGGTGAATTACGCCAGAACAGACATATAGCGCAAATTCAAGTTTTTGTTTACTTTTTGTTTTGATCACAATGTGTACATTTGGCACAGTCCTTAAGGGGTTAAAATAATAATTTGCAAGTTCCTCATCTATATCCTTGGCATTTTACGTTATCTGTGGAGTGATATAAGGGATCTTGGATTGTATTTATTTAGTGTTTAATTTGTTAGCAAGCAGTTTACCCGCCTTGTTACCTTGCATAAAGTATTTTAGTTTAAGTGCTCTTAATTGTATTTCAGTTGTTTGTAGGGACATAGTCTGTAGTCATTTTTGTATCACCTCCATTCGTTTGGAAACTAATTTGGAAGGAGTGATCTTATTTTGGGAGGTTAGATATGGTCTTGATTTAAAGTGCCCCTGATTACTGCCTTGTACGCTAACCAGTGGGTTTTCGCAGAGGTACCCCCACCTACATTTTCTAAAAAGTAATTTGATACTGCAGTTTGAGCATAATGATTGAGTCATCCAACAGAGTTTCGTTTAGTCTCCATTTACCTCTACCCCTGACCGGGAATTGTGAACGGAACGAGACCGTGATTGGGGCATGGTCAGACTAGGTCCTTTGCCCTATTTTCACTTGAGTGAAATTTGGTAGTGTTGCTTTGTCTACCATGCAGATATCGATGCGTGAGTAAGTCAAATGGAACAGTGAGAAATAGGAGTAATCTTTCTCTGAAGGATATGTATTACGCTGAGTGTCTAATAAATCATGGTCGTGAAATAATTTACTCAACTTTTGACCATTAGTTATGGTGGAGGCCAATGGGGCCCTTTCGTGCTCTTGTTTGATATCTAATGAGGGGTCTAGTGTACAATTGAATTCCCCACAAAGAATAACGTGGCCCTTCCCTATGTTTTCTATCTTTTTTAAAGCTTTGCGTAAGAATGGTGTTTGGCCAGAGTTGGGTACATATAGTGAAGCTATAGTGATCTGGAATCCATTGAGTGTCCCCACTAAAACCAAGAGGCGCCCCAGTGCATCAGTGTGTTGATTTTCCTTCTGGAAAGCCCAGTCTGTGTGGAAGAACATAGATACCCTTCTGGACTTGCGATTTGCTCTTATCCTTACTGGGCATGCTTGGCGGATGAAGTCAAGATGATCACCACTATGTGTGATGCACGTGGGGAGTGAACAAGAAGGGTAGGGTAAATAACAGGGCAAAAAGAAAAGTTTCCAAATGAAGTATATACAAAGTTCCTTTGTCATGTAGGCACAAAAGTGGCTAAAAGTGGGATTTAGTGGAACGATCCCTATTGAGTTAGCCATTGGGGTTGTGTCAGTGAACCAACTTAGACAGGAACCCTATTAACGCTTTAACGCTTTTTTAATAAAAAATAAAAAATATGGTTAGAAAGGTCTATTTTTTACGAATATTATTTATTGATGTAATCATTTTTAGTAGCTGATTCTGAGCCAGTGCAAGCCTAATCTGTCATAAAACATTTTAACATTTTAACAATGTAATGAAACAATCCCTTCTCTCTTCCAATCCCATAATTACCTAGTTCCTAGTATCTAACCCCCATTCCCACCCCAAACCTTGATATGAATGCATACTGGTGCATACTTGACATTAACGTCCCACACAGCTGCATAATAGTGTTTGTTAGGGCGAGACATGGGGGCCTGAGTGCAGGCAAGTGTATTTGTTAATTATAGCACAGCATAGTCAGGGATTACCAACTTAGGTGGGAGCAGGTATTAGTGACCTTGTATTGAACATTTTTCCACTCCCCACAGATTGCATACCAGCCCTTTAGGTTAGCGTATAATCCAGCGATTGTGACTCACTCAAATGTGCTGGCGCCATTTGTTAGCATGCAACCAGATTTGAGTATCTTAGTGGTGACGGCCTAAATTACACTAAATTGTGGCCCAATTACTAAGTTCCAGTTTAAGTGTGCTAACTAAGTTTGTCTCATAGTGAGTAAACCAGGATAGATTCTAGTAATAACATATCAACAGACATTAACCATAGGTGGTAACATTGGTAGCGAGTGTTTCAAGCATGAGCTAAGGAGACCTAATCAGATAATGCTCTACTGCTAACGCATAAGTGTGCTATTCAGGAAGAAATCATTTTGTTCTCATAAAATACTCTTTCCAGTTCAGGTTGAATGGTCGGCCCACGTCTTGGGGTGCCCGCCATTTTCCACTCTGGCTGGATTTTAGTGGACGAAGGTCGCTGTGGCGGGTTGTTTCCACTAGACTGGAAGAGTCCCCATTCTTTAACATTAGATATACTGACTTCAGGTTCTAGTATAACGACGGTTCTTCCTCCTCTCCATACCAGCAACTTCGTGGGGAAACCCCATCCATACACTACATTGAAATTTTGCAGAGTCTTAGTGACGTTAATAAATTCCTTTCTTTGAGCCATCGTGGTGGTAGATAAGTCCGCATAAATTGCAATATTGTGGCAAGGCTCCGGTAGTGTCCCCAGCTTCCTCGAGGAATTAAGCAGTAAATCCGTGGATGTAAAATAGTGAAATCTGGCTATGGTGTCGCGGGGAGTGTCCGTGGTGAAGCGGGATTGTCGCGGTATGCAATGGCACCAGGGTTTTGCATAGTGCTAGGATATATCCTTGCAGGGCCTCTGTGGTCATGGACTCTGCTATTCCCCTAAAGCGGACATTATTCCTGCACGACCGGTCTTCCAAGCCTGCGGAGTTTCTCCACAACTTTGTTATGGGCCTCATATAGTTCCTCCGTTCTGTTCTCAAGATGGCCCGTTCTTCCACCCAGGTCTGTCAGCTCTTTGCGCATTTCAGCAGCAATTTGTTTGACGTCAACTTGGAGTGTAGAACAAAGATCTTGTAGCATAGAATATAATTGTTTTTCTGTAACTGGGGCCACATCAGATAACTCAGTGGTGTCAGTATCCATTTGCCCTTCTGAAGCGGGAGAATGCGCCAACAGTTCATCGTCATCTTGGATTTGTTTATGGCGTTCTTTTTTCCCCTGTTTCATCGGATCTGTGAGCTTAAGCTGCTTCAATGGTGCCATCTCGGTTTGTATTGTTTGTTTTTCGTTCTGGCTAGGAAAAAGTGTATGTGTCTTCTTTTTTTTTTTGCTTTATTTTGCGGCTACTGGTTCCGTGGTGTATGGAGCTTCAGTCCATGCGTCTGCTTCACTTTGTAGTTGGTCACACCCCTCAATGTAATTTTTAATATGCCTTGGTAACTACTCCCCACCTACCTTTACCATAACTCTTTTCTTCAGCACACATGCTTTTCTTCCTATTTGATGTATGACTTATGTATGCTTGACTATCGAATAAAACAAAAAAAAAAAGGAATTACAAAAAATAAATTACCATGTAAAATACAGATACTCACAAAGAGAGAAAGAGTGCTTTTCCACCATACTAACTGGTATATGTCTCCTCCCATGTTTCCCAAAATAAGCAAGTCAAAAGTGAATTTGCATGTTGTAATGGCACCCTCAACATAAAAGGGTTAAACCGCCGTTTAGTAGATCTTCCCTTCCAGAGACACAGGCACAGCTACTGCAGAACACCAATCCGCCGAACAGGAAACTATATGAATGCCGTACACAGCCGAATAGGAAAAACCATACGAATAGGTTTACACTCCTAGCAGTCAAACTGGAACAGCATACAATAAATCCCCCCAAGAACGAGACAAAGCTCCGTGTTGAGGGTCAAGCAGTGAACAGCCAGAGCTGTGGGTTTATGGTGCGTATGTACACATTCTTACACATTAGTACCACCCACAGTGTTTTGGAACACAACCAATAAACACATACAATACACTCAGACACTCCCACACAAAATCATCCCCTCTGCCTGTGATTGAATTACCTTACACAATGGGTCATGTAATTATAACAAGCAGAGAAATACAATTTTTCCACATTATTCATAACTTGAAAAGTATGCATCACATTCACATTCACTTACATTTTCATTATCAGCATACTCCAAATACAAACATATGTCAAATTCATACAAATTGGTCCAATGGTTCAAAAGATAGATCGTAGTCCTTTGTGACCAAAGGAAGCATGGCTTTTCTGCCCAAAACCAGTTCCACAGAGTCTTCTATCCTGGAGATAAATGGGAAGTAATCCAATTATCTCCAAGCACATAGGCAAAACTCCATTGAACACATGGCAGCAATAGACAATAAAATACATAAAAACATATAACTGTGCAGCCATTGCACAAAACAGGTACATTCAACATATCCCCAGATAGCTCAGATCTGAGCGCACATTATTACTGAATGGCGCTCAGAGCACACACATACAGTTCAATTGCCATGGAGCCAGAGTCTTTCCCATAGTCTTTCATTATACGAATGAGCTCCATGGCATAGCTATCTGGGGTATCACTGCTCAAACAGGGAAAGCACCAAATGACCCGGCTTTCATGTCTTTGCAGGGGAAAATCCAGCATTTCAACATGGGGCCATAGTCTAAAGGCAGCAGGCGGGCAACCAGGCTTCTCCAATGCAATGTGGTGAGATTGCTCTCGTCACAAGTTTTTATGGATCTTGCCGCCAACCACAAATTTGGTTATTCGTTGACAGTCCTGCAATACAGTATTTTCGCATTTAGACTTTCTATTATTTTTTCACTCATCATGTACTCAGTGAAGAGTAAATAGTTTTTGTTTTGCAAAAAAAATAATAAAGAAAATATTTATTTTGAGTGCCTTTTGCTTGAGTCTTTGTTTTCGACTAACGAAACGCAGAAAATGTCTCTTTATGTCAAAGTATCACTTTGTATTATATTGTTCTCTCTCTTTATATTGTTCTCTCTCTTAATGTTTATTTTGTGGTCAGCTTGTAACAGAGGCCAGCAAGAAGTGGAACATGTACTCCTTTGGAATTTCATTCGCAAAGATATCATAACAATTTTATACCCTTAAAGGAATGGTAGATGAAATCTCCCTTTCCTTGTTAGTATGTTGTGGTTCCACTACAGGTGTAGATCACCTATGTATAATGATAGAATAAGATCAGCTTGGTTGAAAAGCAATTCCAAAAGACTTTCTATTTGCCCTTTATTTCCTATTTAATTGGAAAAATTCTAGATTTATACATAGTCTATACTAGTCTAAACATGGAAGAAAAAAGTGGAAGACTGCTTGCAAGGAAAGCACTCATTTAGACTACTTTACCAAAAAGCATGGATATTCAATGGATGAGGAACAGCTAGGACATCAAAGTACTTTATAGACAGCGGAAAAATTTGGTTCTGCCAAAATATTATGTACATTTTTTTGCAGTACACTGCTAGACATATTTTCCCTCACATATTTTCTCACTTAATATTTACAAATCAAGTGAGAAAATGTAACCAATAAAGGGGAAAAAAGCAGTAAAGTTAAATAATCTATATTTATGTATTTTAAATGTATAAAATATATAATATGCAAATATATAAATATAGATTTTCTTCCCACTTCTTTGAATAAAATCAACATTTAGTGGTGTTCCCTTAGCCATCAATCTTGTTTTTTTTGTCAGAGTTCTGAATCACAAATTTAACAAACTTGTTAGAACAAAGTGTGAGTCCTTTACCCAGTTGTTCGTCCATATGAAGAATTGCAGTTAAATAATACCTGCAATCTGTCGATCGGCCTAAATTTAAACAAAGAACAATTTGGTCAAAAACAACTGCAGAAGTATAGCACTTTATATTCTCAGCCAGAATACCATGGTCTGTATATCATACCCGGGGGCAATAGACAAAAAAAACAAAAACATTTTATTATTGAAATGTAAATATCAAGAAAAAAACAAATATTATATGAATCTACAAGGAATGCATTTCCTGAAAGACATGGACATGCCACACCTTTAAATATACTGCAAAAATAATATTTAACTAAAAATAAAAAGAGCCGAGTAAAATTAAATGGCCTTCATGTTGCAGGAATGGATAGTTTGGGTCTAAGGAAGAGAGATAAGACAGTTACTTTACTTTAAATGAATTTACAACTGGGAGTAGCAAAAGGGGGGGAGGAGGAATGGAGCAGGCCAGCCATTTGTTATAAACAATTAAATATTTGCTAACCAAAATTCTATCAGCCAGATTATTAATAACTACATGTAACAGTAAGTACAAAAAATTACAGTATTAAACTATATGTAACAATGGTAGCATCATTATAGTAAAATAATAATCTAGTAACAAGATGAAAGAAGTCCAGTTGAATATCTTCTGCATCTGTTTGTACCTTTTTAAAGGCTGCAGTGTTCAAACCTATAAATAAATAGTAATTTTAAAATCAGTTACAGCAATAAAATACCAAGTGTACGCATATATGTAATTATAAACATGCATTTAAACAGAGAGTGTAAATATATCAACTAAATAAAATAAATATGAATGTCCAAGGAAGAGAAAGTCCAAAATGTACTGCAAATTATTAGTATCCAGTAGACTCTTAAAACTGAGCATAGAAGAAATGTAGCAGTTTGAGCATTAGACTCGGGTTTTCATTTTCGGATTAGCACATTTTTCGTCAATTCGTCCGAAAGACGATTGAATGAATAGAAATTAGAATGAATGAAATGAAGGTCGAATTGCTTGTTGGATGAAATTTCATCTGTACTATTCGCTCTTCAATCATTTTAGTTTATTACAAGGAGGGAGCTATCTGCTTGCGGCTACCTAATTCCCTCCATGCTGCCCCTCACCCTATGGGGTCAAAATTACCACATATTAGTAGAACAGAGGTTAAATCCTCCTTCCTGTAACTACTGACAGTGCCGCGAGTATGGGCATGTCTACCAACAGTGAGCAGCCAGTGGCTGTTCACTATTATAAGAAAAGACTAGTGACTGGGCAGCTATCGGGGGTGCTTTTTCGTAATTTCAGTCTTTCAGTTTTTTTAGTAGATAGCTACCTAATCCTTGTGGGATTGCAATAAGGATACCAAAAATGATTTAGCTACTAAAAATCTCTCTAATTTGGTACACTTAAATATTTCAATGCCACAAGAAAACCAATTTAAAGAGTTATATATATCTGCAAGATGTCCAAATAAAATTCCGAAATTAAAATAATGGTCTAATATCATCCGAAAATGAATGAACAAACGGACGAAATTCAGTTCGGATTAAACAATTATTTTTTTGTTCCAATATATATGAAAATATTATCGGCACCTAAGTCGACCAATCATGCAATAAGGGAAGATACACAGCAGGAACTGAGGAAGAGGCATCATACTTCCCCCAATAAGAACATATCCATCTGAAAAGAAACCTATGCAAAGAAAGCAATCCTAAACACACTGGGGGTCCAGATATTTCAACACAACCAAATGGTTCTGATAATCAAAATATAGGCAATATGGGACTTTTATTTGCAGGTGGAAGGGATTACAGTGGAAATATGATTTGCACCATTCTATACCAACTACAACTGAGTAAAGTGCAAGACTTATCAACAATGAGTGGCTTTCCTGTAACCATCAATCTTGTATTTATGTCAGAGCTCTGAATCACAAATTTAACAAACTTGCTTGAACAATGTGTGAGTCCTTTGCCCAGCTGTATGTCCATATGAAAAATTTCAGTTATAGAATTCCTGCAATCTGTGGATCGGACTAAATTTCAACAAAGTGCAATTTGGTCAAAAACAACTGCACAAGTTTATTACTTTATATTCTCAGCCAGAATTCGGAGCCAATCTATTCCTGTGGTGGAGATACATAGATGACGGTCTATTTATATCAAAAGAAGATGTATAATTTTTAGCACAGTTTAAGGAATATCTTAATCATAAACTGAGCTTCACGCTTAACCAATCTAAGGAATGGAATGAATTCTTAGATCTTGCAGTGTATGTGAAAGAAGGAAAACTACAGAAGAAAACCTTCAAGAAAAGTGTGGACTGTAGCAGGTTTATCACTGCTGACAATAATCTTAACAAAACCTGACTGAATAATAAAAAAACAATAATGAGTTAACACTCTTCTAAACCAAGGTGCA